CCACCCTCACACACCTCCCAAGAAATTAGAAACGTGACAACAAACTCCAGTTGTCGCGAACCCACCAGCAGCCATGCGCGCTCGGCAAGGCGGAGGGGCAGGCCTCGGTGTGGGGGAGTAATTGGTGAGCCCGAGGCGAATGAAGTGATTGGAAAAGTGAGGTGTGAGTTCGTTCTTGAGGTGTGAGCGTGGTGGTGGGGGGGCATGTTTAAAAGCCCGGATGTCCCTTTAATTCACAGCTTCTGACACAGTAATTGCTGTTTTGTGGTTTCTATTATCTACACAGTGGGGAGTATGCGCGTCTCCTTCCCCAAACGGCAGAGTCCGGGCTTGGGGAGGAGCTCCTGGGTGCCCGGCGATTCTCCTCCCTCTCTGGGCCCCGGTGGCCCTGGTGGCCCTGCCTGGCCTCATCCAGGTGGCGGCCTCTGCTCCCAGGAGCTGAGGGTTCACGCACAACTTCCTCCCAGAGCCACTCTTAGAAATGGCTCCATGACTTAGTTGTCAGATAAGAGCCTTAATAGTGGCTAGTAGTTACACATCGCGTATCTCCAGGGAGCTAAAGGTACTTCATCGATATTTTCCTCCCCCACTTCCCCTCTTATCTTCCACTTTAATTTTCCCGCTATCTCTCTGAGATTGCTAGGATCAGCCTCTTATTGCCCCACACGGCCATATAGGAACCAGAGCCCCCCACTGTCCCCGCATCGGTCTTGGGCTGGGAGGGAAGCCTTTCCTGGGTTTAAGCCCCGGGGCAGTGGGACCTGACAGGTCACACGGCCTCTCTGGCCCTTGGTTTCTCACCTGTAAAAACAGGGTATCACCACTGTCCCCCAGTCCTGGAAACAGTATATTTTAAAGCCCCAGCCCATCACAGGCCCTTGATCACTGGTCCCCAGAGCGACGCAGCCATGATGGCGTCTTCATGTCCCAGCCCTTCATTTCAGTTTCACAGCCTTGGGAAGTTCCACCTGATATCTAACCCTGATCTTCCAGTTGCTCCATGGGCCCCAGCTTTCTCCTATCCTCTTCACAGATAGAAGGGGGAACAGGCTCGCCATCGCCATCTCCCTGATCCCCTGGAGAATAGGATTTGGGGAGTACTCGGGTCCTGGGTCACAGCATTTCATTTGTTCTGCAGATGCCTGCCTGGAAACCCCAGATGGGGACTATGACACCCCCGCCCTTGGCCCCCTCACTGCCTGGGACAGGATCCCAGTTCTCTGACCCTTCCCTACAATTCCCCTTGGATCCAGGGGGCCCCTCTGTCATGGCTCCCCCTGCCACGCTCTCGAATGCCACTTCCCCAGGCCACGTAAGCATGACTCCTTCAGCCTCCCCTCATCAGCTATTTTCCCCACCTTTTAATTATTTTCCTCGCCTTTCTCCGGACCCTGAGCTGCTTACCATGCACAGAGCATCCACAGCATGCCGTGTGCTGCAGAGAGGGCGGAATTAACCTCTCAGTCTCCCCCTCTCTCTCTCCCTCTCCCTCTCCATCTCTTCCCTCTCTGCCTCTCTCTCTCTCCCTCTCTCTGTTTCACATGCACATACACACATAGGCTGGCTCACCAGAAATTAGAAAGGGTTAAGAAATCTGGGCAGAGGGCCATTGAGACCATCAAGGGACAGGACTGTAGCCCTTGGGCAGAGGCAGGAGGAGGTTGCACACAGCCTGGGTGGAAGGAACTGCAACTCAGTCAGCGTCCCTTGTCCTGGGGTCTTGGGCAAATCACTGGACCCCTCTGAGAATCCCTCAGGGCATTCCTAGCTGCCCCACCCCATTCCTGAAAGTGGCCAGTCTCCTGCAGATAGCTAAGGGGGTGAGACATGGAGCAACAGAAAGAGCTCAGCATCAGACACCCCAAATTCACAGTCTGGCCCTGCCACTTACTAGTAAGAACGGCTATCTCCCTGAGCCTCAGTTTCTTTATCTGTGAAATGGGGTGGTAACTAACCACTAACATGCGTGTTCTTTGTACATAGTGTGTGGCCTGTTTTGGGTCATCTTTATCATGGTGCTCTGAGTATGGGCGTAATGTACCAGGGTTCGCGTCCACCTGCGGGGTGCTACCGCTTGCTTATTTCAAAAATACTGTCAGACATCCATGCTGGCCCAGGCACTGGGCTCCTTGCTGTAGACCCATGATAAACAAGACAGGTGTGGTTTTTACTATAGCAGAGCTGAGATTCAGTCCCGGGGGAAGTCAGAGGGCCGCACAGGTTTCCACAGCACAGGGCCCTAAGTGCTCTCAGTCTCGGGTCCTCAACGCCACCAGATGCGCTGTCCCTGCGTCCCTGTGGCTCCCTGAAGAACTAGGAACCAAAGGAACATTTATGTGAGGGCATCTACAAGGAACCTCAGCCATCCCCTACCCCGTGCCCCCCTGCCTAAGGCCAGCCTGGCGGAGGTGCGGGGCTTCTAAGGAGGGAGAGGCAGCATGTCTGTTGTGGGCCGTGGCTGCCTTTAGGTGGCAGGATAAAGCAGGGTTTGCGGCCTGGCTCCTCAGCTCTGTCACCTCACCTTCCTGCCTGTCCCCACCTGCCCGGCTTCCAGGCCCCAACCCGCCTCCTCCACATGGGCTGGGAAGACTGACAGGGCTCCACTGCCTGTCCTCCCAGCCCCTCCCCTCCCAGGAGGTTGGTCTTGTCACCAGCAGTCCCGTTTCTGTCGCTGGCTCGGAGAGGCGCCAGGCGGGGGGAGCAGCACTGCCGGGCAGGGCTCCGCGGAGACGTGCAGATTCATTCTGAGGGCTCATAATGCTGCATTTACACACTGTCCTGACTTCAGAAATTGGGCTGGCAGATGCCTGGTCATGCTGGTGGGGCTGCGGGTTAACGCTTTGGATTCAGTTTATGTCGTTTCTGGAGAGCAAACGGCCTTTACCGTGTTTCCTACCCAATCGGTCTCCGGCCCTGAAGCCCCCTCGACCATCGTGTGTCAGTGTGTGTGCCCAGGCACCCGCAAGTCTGCGGAGATTCTCAAATAAAATAATTCCTCTCCTTGGACACCAGGCACATTAAATATTTATCGGCAGCAGTTTGCACGTATACATTTGACAAATGGACATTAGAATGGGGCTGGGGCTCGCGAGAAGTGGTGAAGAAGGGAGGCCTGGTTCTTTGTCCGGGAATTTCTCCAAGGTTTGTGCCCAAGGAAAGGAGGGGCCTGGGGGTGGTCCCGGCCATGTTTACCTGCTTGATCCCTGCTTAAAGCCATTTCCTCCTCCAGAGCTCTGCCTGAGTTAGGTTTAGCAGATACCAGAACAGAAGTACAGAGGGAGGGGAAGTGGGGTTTAGGGGGTGTCGCTCTGTGTCATTCAGGCGTCTTGTGCTGAAGATATATCCTAGGTCCCGTGCTTATTCAACACAGAGCTCTGCTGTGGGGGTGAATTTGGTTCAGGAGACCCCGCTGGCCCCCAGCATGGGGCCCTGGCTGGCAACACAAGCAGCCCTCGCCTCCGCAGCCAGGCCATGTGTATACAGGGCTGGAAAGCCCCCCGGGCCAGGGAGGCCGAGCGTTCTGGGCCTCAATTCTCAAATGCCGTATTTTTGCCTTTTGCCCCTAGCACCTTCGGGGAACTGAAGACTGTCCGCTTGCCCAAGAAGATGACTGGGACAGGCACGCACCGGGGGTTCGGCTTTGTGGACTTCCTCACCAAGCAGGACGCCAAGGTGAGACGGTGGCCCCTGCCCAACAGGCCTCTCCTTTCTGGGCCTTTTGTACGAGTAGCAGCAAAGCTCTGTGGTTTTTCTCCTTTTTTTTTTTTTTT